CAATATCGAACAATTTATTGAAATCTGATGTGGTGCATGTTTTTGCGTCGCTGTAAAATTTTGTGGTCAATTTAGCTATAAAGCAATTGATATCATCAATGTTTAAGTCTTTTCTGAGCAATCTATTGCTAATCGCCCTTGGGGCGCCAGTCATTGTGCGTAAAAATTTACCTTCAGTTGTAGATAGCTTCTTTTTTAGGTTGTTGCTTATGGTAGTGAGGGCTGGGCAAGCATACGTAAGAATTGGTCGAATCGCTTGTATATAGATAGTTCTTTTATTTGCTAGATCAAGCTTTGAATTCTTATGCAGGAGGACTTTGAGCGCAAAAAACGCTCCTCTGGCTCTTTTGATTATGTCGTTTATGTGAGTACTCCAGCTCAAACGGATATCCAATTAATGAACGAGTCATTTAATAAAGAATATAGTTAAAATAAGAAAGTGGTAGCAAATATATGACTAAATTTTTTTATTTATTTATGAATATTATTGGTTTGCCTTATTCTCTTGTCAACCACTACAGATTCAATTCTCAAATATATAAGATAAATTTCTCTCAATTACTTTTACAAAAGGTTTTGGGTTCATGCGCACAACTGGTTCACTTTTTAAGCAGTATGCGCGGACTACTTATAAAAGACCGTGTGGAGGCTTCTTGATGTAGGAGGTGATGGCCCAGCGCCCTATCGACCAGGCCATCCCTTCCCTTTACTATTCATTAAGAATATAATTCTATTTATTTCAAAATGTCTCCCATTTTTCAGCAACCACTATTTATTAAACAACACACAATTTAAGTACATCTGGTTATTTTGCAATCACAACTTAATTTCTCTGTTGCTTAAAAAACAAAGAACTATTTAGGAATCTTCAGCCGATATCCCGGATTGCTCCGCGTTGTCAAAAATTGCTTTAATTAGTGGTAACAAGATTTAGGTTAATTTAGTTTAGTATATCTCTTAATTTTTTTCAGACTGTAATAGAGATGCCAACTTGCTCCGGACAGCGAATAAATATTTTCAAGTGGTAGTTTATTAATTGCGATTCTTGGTTTAATAAATTCAATTTATTAAGTTTTCATCCACCACTAATTCTAAACAATTCGGAGGCTTATATAAATCGCCACTTTGTTATAATTATGTCATGCTAAACCCTTTTAAAATGTAGGCAAAATTAGTCAAATATTTGCAAATTTTAGTTTGTAGTTATTTACCGTTTATTAAATTAATTTGGCGTGTAAGGGTCAGTTGGCATCTCTGCTATATATCAAAATTCAAAGTAATGGAAATGCACCTTTAATACATTTATCTTTTGGTTACTCTTTCAAAAAGTTGGCGAAATTATATTTATACTACAAGTTTTAAATTAATCGCTACCAATTTATTAAAACTTTAGCAGAAAGCGGAGCAATCCCTGATGCTGTCTGTCTCAAATTTCCAGTCAATATTTGCTGCTCCAGAAAGGATTAAACAAAATTTTACTTTCGTAAAAATCCAAAATTAAAATCAAATATCATTTAGTCTTTTCATTCATTCATTTTGTGCACTGAATACAAAGTTAGTTAAAAAAAAAAGAAGAAGAAAAGATTATATTCATTGAGTTTCAATTTCGCTCAATAGTATTTTATATTACATATGTGCTCTCAAGACTCATTGCAGTAAAACCTAAGAAATGACGTCAGTAGATAGAAAACATTTCTATTTTCTACGGCATTTACTGCAAACATTTCTTTAGTCTACGGCATATATATCAGTACAGTATTCCTATTATGGTCATGTTTATTTTCAAGATTTATTTGCTAGTTTAAATTTATTTTTCTGTATAAAGACAGCTGAAAAATGTTTTGAAAGTTCGTAACAAATTTGGTGTAAGTATGTAAATTTCATTTTAAAAAAATGCATATTTTTTGTATCTAAAATCATGTATGTTCACAGCTGTAGGAGAACCTGGAATGTGTAGAGAAAACGACTTTGACTGCAGAAATTCTCGCTGCATACCCAGAGACAACGTATGTGATTACACTGATGACTGTGGTAATTTTGAAGACGAAAAACGGGAAATATGCTGTAAGTGAAATTTAAAATATATTTTTATGTAAATAACTAATTTTAGAGATAAAGTCACATACATTCAAATCTTTGCAAAGCAATATTAACATTTTCCAACGTAGAATATTAAAATTAGAATTTAATGATAAAAAATTATTAAGAAAATCTAACATTTTCAGCATTTTCTTTCGTTCAATTCGCTTCTAAGATATTGCGTCTACCAGCGATTGTGATATTTCAAACTAAAGTGTCAGAAAACATTGAAAAACATTAATTAGTCTCAACTTAAGTACCCAATCGCTTTTTAAAGAAAGTATATTTTACTTCATCACCAGAATTTGCGTTTTCGCAACAGTAGTATGGAAATAGCTAAAAAGTGTGAAGCAAGGGAGTATATTTCGATAATGTTCAAAAATATTAAAAGTTTTATTTTATCTTTCTAGTATTTTCAATTCCATGGTACTGTAACTGAAGGTTTTAGCATACCTGCCAACCTTTAATCCCCTCCATTATGATTTTTCCCAGTGGTAGTAACATGGAATTAAAATTTCAATTTTAAGCAAAAAAGTACGCTGTATTTGAAAAAGTTTAAGCTGAAGACCATGGTATAGTAACACATATTAATATATATGCTTAATTTTTTTCATAATAGTGGTGATCAAAATCATTTAAAAATTAAGTTTATAAAAGTAAAGAAAATATATATTTACTACCACTTTAAATATAAAAATAAAATTTTACGCCAAATGCGTAAAAGTTGGCAGGTATGTGCATTAGTTCTTGATCCATAGAAATATTGTACTCCTACTGTCCCAGCTTTGTTGTAAAATGTAATTATTGTACTGTATTGGTATATTTTTGTACTGATTATTGATACTGATGATATGATTTTGTTGGAACATTCAGTGATTTTTAGAATTCAAGAGATGCCAACTAGCTCCGTACAGCAAATATATATTTTAAAGTGGTAGTTTATCAATTGTGATTCTTGGTTAAATAAATTCAATTTAGTAGATTTTTATCATGTTCTTTCTTTATAAAAGCAAGCAGAAATAGTCAAATATTTGCAAAATTTAGTTTGTCGTTATTTATCGCTTTTTTAATTATCTTGGCGTATCCGGAGCAGTTGGCATCATTGGAATTCTGTGTAATCAACGAACAACATTTACTTACCAAGTAATCCCACCTTCCTTCCATAAATCAGTACCATTTTATTATAGAAAATCCAAGGTTCGTACGCTTTTAAGCCGTGTCCCATTTTTTAAGGACTCTTCTACCAGTAATCGCATATCTTCTTTCGAATGAATCGTGAATTCTTTGTAATATAATTTTACTGGTGTCGATCTACTAAATTGCATTCGAAGTAATTTATGACTCTACCGACTTGAAATGTAGTAATTAATCTGGGACAAAATTTTCGACCTACATGTAGCAACTAATGTCGGACTGAGGAAGTAGAAAAACAGTAGTTATTTATAGAATTCCAAATGTTATTTAATTCTATAGAAAATTGACATGCATACAATACACTATTTTATTCGAAATAGAGGAGCATCATTTCCGTATAAATGTATATTATACCTATTGTAGTGAATTGATATAGTAGTATAGTTAATTATTAAAATATTTTACAATGCTTGTTGAACTCTTTAATATGCCATTTATTTCTAGTAAGGGTAAGCTAAAATATTTTTGAAGTGATGTAAGAAAAAAATTCATTTAACTTATTAGATAAAATTAATTTAAATTTTAAAGCAATTTTTTATGGTAAATAAGTTTTCCACCACCTATTAGGTGTTTTAAAAAATGGCAAGATTAAAGACTTTTAATATATTTTTATTCTTAAAATAAATTTTTAAATGTTACTAACTGCAAAAATAAATATCTTTTATAACCTTTCATGCAAGTCTCTTGTAGGATTACATATTTTTTTCTACACTAACAACCGCCAGAGTTTAAAATATGTATAAATAAATGTCCAAATTTAAAGTGGTAAATTGTTTGCAATGGACTTTCGAAATTGGAGGTAAGTGAACAAACCATGGCGTTTAAAAAAAACATAAATTTAGTAGATGTTTCTTCAGCAACCAGAAATCCTTTATAAGAAAACTATTTCAATTGTATTAGTTTCATTACAGTAATTTTAGTTTTTCAATAAATGTGAATTTATCAATGGATTAATTACACTGGGGAACAAATATTTTTTGCACTCATGCAAGCACTTGATCATGCCGACTTCGGCTGAGAGGATTTCAAATCACCCATTAAATTTGATCGGAAGATAATGATCACAGTTTTAGTTGATTTCATTTTTGTCAGAACGTATAGGTTTATACGCATACATACAGACCCTTGTCGTCAGCTCTGTCGAAAGTAACGTTTACGTTTATTAAGCTAAAATTGGGTGCCTGGGCCGCGCAGCGGCCCCTAGCCCATTGTCGAAAGTAACAATGAAGAATACGACATCAACGAATTTTTAATTATTACAAATTTATTTAAAATTTTTAATTTTATATTTAGAGTGGTAGTGAAAATTAGGTTTTTTTTTATTTTCATAAAATATAAATTTGTTTTAGTTTGTATAATTTAAGCAAAATAGAAATAAAATCACTGTCAACAAATTAATTCAACCATAGAAAATCTTCAAGAAAAAAGTCAGGCGAATATGATACTAACATAATTTATTTATTTCTAACGTTTAGTAACAGCCTTATCCAGATGTAATTTCGACCTGTCTTTCTGCAATTGGGTTAAGGATTCTTCAACTGAAAATGAGTGGCAATTAAGAGGACCTTTTCCTTCTCTTGAGCAAGGACCTACTCGGGATCACACATCTGGATTCACAAATGGTAAAACTATTGACAGAACTCTCTGCGATTTAAAAACTTAGTTTCTTAAAGCAAATTATAATTAAGGAAACCTACAATGGGATACCTGCAACTGACTTAGTGTGGGTATCTCGATCCTGATGGGTTGTTCTATTATCTAGCTGATCCTGATTGGTTGTTCAATTGGAGAAACTTAGCTCGACTATAGCACTCCTCTAGTTTATAAGCGATGAGCTAGCACAGAGGACATAGGTCACATTTCTGTGTATCAGTAATTGTCATCTCAAGCTGCAAGTATCCAACTGTCACATTTAAAATGACGTACGACGTGTCCACATGTTAACCCCTCCAAGTGTGGCGGGTCATACTTTGTCATACCGAACTTTACGTTGCCAGCCTCATTACTTAATTTGTTTGAATTATAAGGTCGTAACTGCAGATTTCGATAAGTCAGGACTATACTGTTCGAAAATTACAAATGATGATTAGGTTAATTCATAATTTGGCTGCAAATCAGAGGTTTGATGTACTTACAATTACCACATGAAATAAAAATTTAAATGGAGTATAGTACGGCAAAAAATAAATAAATAAGTAAATAAAGAATAAAAACAGACAACCCTGAATAACTTTTGGTCTAATGATCAGATCTTCACGCTCTAGGATTAAATCTTAAGGTATGAGGTGGTGACCTTCCTCAAATATGCTAATTAAATTGTGCTGACGATATTTTAAGCTGCGAAATCAAAAACTAAAAGGGACTTTCTCTGAAAAAACACACCTTTTTTCCGACGGATTAGAATTTCTGAAATCAATCGAAGAGTTCCGAAGAAATCGAATTTTAAGTATCTGACTTTTTCTCCTAATTCGATTTTACTGGAACAATTGGAGCAATTACACTCAAACTTTGTATTTCGCCATGTAAAATTAAAATTATGTATCTTAAAAATTATGTAAGAAAATGTATACCTTGTAATTCAAAATTTTTTGACAAATATTGAATGAAGTAATAAAAAATAATAAATATTTGCTAAAGTCCTTCTGTGCATGGAGTTATCCTTGCATGAACGAATTTTATAATTGAGTACAACATTTTTTCAATTAGCTTAAAAAGTTCACAAGATATGTCAAAATACGCAAAAAGTAAATAAAAAAACATTAAGTAGCCCAAAATTTCAACTGCTCTCTGAACAAACTATTGGGATCATATTTCCCTACTTCCTACATCTAAGGCGACCGAAATCCGAATTCATTGAAAAAAATGAATGTTTATTCAGAGAAAGTACGTTTTTGTGTCTGATTTCGTATCTTAAATATCGTCTGTAAAAATTTATTAGCATTTCTGAGGTTACCTCCTCGAACCATTAAGATTGAGGCCTGGAACGAGAAGATCGGATCATTAAATCAAAAATCATTCTGCGTGGTCCGTTTTTTTTTTTTTTCCTTCTTTTTTTTTCTTGTGCTTTGTGCATATAGGGAGTGAAAAGAAGAGAACATGGCTGCTATAATTCTGATAAGATCAAAAATTAGTTGCACGAACATATCTTTTTTACTTTTTTTGAGGAGTAATAATTAATTATTCCTCACAATTTTATTTTTCTTGATTCGATACAATCTAGAAAATTAAAATAGTCAGGAATATAGTAGGTACCTGCTGTTAAATGAAATGTCTGTAGTAGTAGTAGATAAATATGCAATACGATGCTTATAAATGGAAGTAGCTCAGGGTATAGTTACTTCTTCTGAATAAAAAGTTTTTACAATCAATATTTTAATATTTAATATTTTCCAGTTATATAGTAGACCAGAGATGTGTAGCTAATTTCTTCTTTAAAAAATACCAATATCTCGGGGAAAGAAATGCTTTTTAAAATATCCGAGAAAATTTCAGGTTTCTCTTTTTGCTTAATTTTTCTCATATAATTACAATAACAAAATACCCAGTGGCCAACAAATATGAAACAAAATATCCGAAGAGAACTTAAATGTCTCTATTTACATTAGTTTGCTTTTTACTACTAATACTTATTTCATTCTTAAACTTTGCTTTTATTTTCCAATAGGCAGATTTCTGTTCTTGGCTAGTAGAATGAAAGCAATACCTGCACGTTTACTAGGCCCAATTCTTCAACCAGCTGAAAATTGCAAAGTAAAATGCTTTATTTTTGCGCAATATTTTTCCCAATAAGACTATACTTCTTCAATATTTAAATTTTGGTTTAATAAATTCCATTTCCTTTTTATTTCAAATCATCACGACGTATGGAGGATTCAGACATGGGTGAGCATTAAAAAACTGACAATATGCAGTAATGCAGGGTTGTCAACCACTCTGCTTTCAGCAAAATATTTATAGAGTGGTAGAAAGTTAAACATTAAAACCTTCAAAATTTTGATTTATTTTTCCTACCTTTTCAAGTAGAGCGAGAAAGCATTTTACATAAGCTTCTAAATTACTAACACCTAGTGGTGGGGAAAATTGCTTTAAATCAAATTTTCTAAATTAAGAATTATACATAAAAATACAAACTCTGATACGACTCGAAGATATTTTTCCTCAAAGTGAAGCAAGTTGGCATCACAGAAAAATGTTTTACAGCAACATTCAGTTCTAAATTAGAAAGTAATCTCTAATTTAGGATGAAGGGCAAATATACATTTAAATTTTTACTTACCAGAATATTTGGCAAATATTAAAACTAATTATGACCACTTAAATTAGTTACATGTTCTGGTGGTCAAAATAACGTGTTTTACGCTAAAATTTATGAACTGCATTTTTATTACGTTCTGTATTTTTAACAGTGTGCCGCAGCCAGTGATTTTAGTTATCTTTACTCTCATACCCTTTAACTACCACTGAATTCATATAGTTTCAGAAAATATTTTTCTTCAAAGGTTATATAAAGGTTCAAAGGTAAAGGATATCAAAGGTTATGGGTATATTTTTCAATACTGCAAAACTCTTCATTAGAGTTTAAATAAAAAGGAAGTTCTCCTCATACTCCTTCTAATCGAAGCTATGGGAATAACATGGAAGTGTCTCATAAGCTCAAAGCCCACTGTTCCAGATTTCTCTCGTCCTGCTGCAGAAAAGTTATTTCGCAGCTGGAAAAGGTCTTAGAGGCCAAAATTTTCCTGTTTGCTCTCTTTGTGACTCTGAACAACTTTATTTTTTTTATAGCCGGCGATACAGCCGACCCAATTGGAAGTTTATTTACTCCGCAGACTTATAATTTTGAACTTGGTCCCGAAGGCAAGGGAGCTTCTTGATCAAGCATCGAGACAAATTGGATTTCATGGAGGACTTTTTGGTGAAAGTAACCAAGAAAGTAACCAAGGAGGAAAACCAAGAAAGCCTGTCATGGTTAACACAACAATAAAGGGATTCTAACCCGTGATCCGTCTAGCACTCAGGATATTTTATGAACTGCTGAGATGCCAACTTGCTCCGGACAGCAGATATATATTTTAAAGTGGTAGTTTATTAATTGTGATTCTTGGTTTAATAAATTCAATTCAGTAAAGTTTTATCCGTCACTATTTCTAAATAATTCTTAGGCTTATATAATTCACCTCTATAAAGAATTTGTCATGCTATACCTTTTAAAAAGCAAAGAAAAATAATTAAATATTTGCAAAATTTACTTGTTGTTATTTACCGTTTTTATAATTATTTTGACATGTCCGGAGCAGTTGGCATCTCTGGAACTGTTGTAGGTACGAGCTGGTAGCAAAATTCGTATCGACCAGTGAACACTGGGATTCGAACTTGGGTCTCCTCATTTAGAGGCCTGAGCTCTATCCCTTTAGCTCTGAATAACTTATGAATTTTAAGCATATTGACAATTGCAGTGCACTAAACTCCTTTACTTCTACTGCCTTAAAAGTATTAGGAAGTACAGTTTAATCATTTGTTTTTCTTTATGCATTTCATTGTAAGACAGTAATGAGCTCTCAAAAATTTAAAGAAAGATAAAAAGTAGTAGGAAAATTCCGAATTCGTATATTAGGTACCGTTGCAACTACTTTTTGTGTTTACACAAATCCTGAAATTGATAAAAAAAATTAATTAATTTTTCTTTTACTGCTGAATGCTCATAACTTTATTGCTATAAATCCTTTAATTTCCTATTGATTTGCAAATGGTTAACAAATTTTTCTTTTTATATAAAAATCACAGTTTTTAAAACAAAAAAAGCATTAGCTATCAAATTAAAACATACTTTCCCATGGTAAGATATCCCAAAAGGTATCCCAAAACGACGTGGCATAAATAAATAAAATTTAACATAATAATTTTTTATGATACTATTAAAATTCATTATTATCTGTGCTAACGAGAAAAAAAAATTAAAAATTTAAAAATTGTTTGTGAGATATTCTTTATGCATTAAATCAATATGCTTTATTATTACAAATATGACAAATTTGATATCTACATAGGAAAAAGTATTAAAAATCTTATTTACTAAACAGCTTTGAAATTTAAGAAAAAATCTCTTGGTTTAAAATGATATTAAGGTTCCACAGCGGTTAAAATGGAAAGTAAGCTTTTATTTTTAGACAAGAATTTTGTTACATAGTCTATTTTCAGAAAGGAAGGGCATGAATGATTTCGTCAAAATGCAACATATTTTCTTTATTTTTAGATTCGTTTTTATTATGACATACGGGGAAACGGGAATTTCTCTCTTCAAATTAAAACAAGAAATGCACAAAATGGTCAAGAGAAAACTGTGTGGAGTGTAAATGAGCAAACAGAAGGTTATTTTTTTGTCGAAAATGTATCCCCATTCACAGAAACACAGAATTATCAGGTAAGGCACGCATTTTGCTTCATACCAGTCTTGCTATTAAATTTTCCGTTGCATATTTTTTATAAAATAACCACTTTCCACCAGTTTGCGAAAAAATTAATAAATGCTCTTGCTGTCTCAAATCAGTTGCTGCATTTGAATAATTTTATACTGATTATTAATGATTATGATTTGTGGTTTCGTTCGAGCATATTTCAGAGTGCTATGCTATCATTCAGTAACATTTGCTTACCTAGCATTCCCTCTTTAAATCATCAACATATTAGCTGCAGAAATCCAAAGTTTACAAGCTTTTAAAACCACGCGACATTTTGTAAGATTCTTCCACCCTTAATCGCATGAATCTATTTTCTGTAGCTAATGAATTATGAATTCCTTATAGTATAGATTTACAGGTATAAATTTTCTAAATTGCATCGGAAGTAATTTATGCTTCCTGTAATTTATGCCTTATGATGCACCTAGCCATCATATTTTCAAGTATTTTAAAGGCCGGGATAGCCTGGTCGGTATGGCGCTGGGCCCATGTCCGAGAGTTCGTGTGTTCGAACCCCTCTGGCCGAAGACTCCCTTGTAGTAAAGTGACTGATGCACGTTAAATCTGTCGAGTCGCAAAAGTCCCCCATGTTCCCATAACAAATCAATACCTCTGGGGGTACTGGATTTGAGATCGATCGTTCTCCATTTCAGGTCAAAATTACGATCTGTGGATGAATAAATGGATGTATGAATTTGTCCACCCTATAAAACGGGTGTGACGAATGGTGTGGCAGAGTAGAATTCTTGGCCATAGATGGCGCCACTGAAAAAAACAAGAATCGCACACTTTACCTTAAATTTGCTCGGTTTCACCAAGCAGGCTTGCCCGTGTGGCAAGTGGCATTAGAACCTACCGAACCAACCAAGTATTTTAAGGACAGTACGAACCATGAATACACATGAAACAATACCTCCCTTGTTTATATAGTGGAGTTTAAGTTTTACCCCCTTTTTGAGCAAGTATACCTCTCTTCAAGTCAAGATAGCGACTAAAGCTACAATACTGACTCATTGGGCATCCAGACATTGGACTCAAACAACTTTCTTTTAAACATATTTAGCTTTTCTCCAGCTATTTCTGTCTCTTTGTTGTACATTAAATCTTTTTGTTTTATAACACAGTAACTGGCTTGAAATCACTTACAATTTTCTTCTTTTTGATAGTAGACAGCTTTAAAAAATTATTCTTGATAATACAAATCTGTTTTATTAAATGATAAACGTGCTAACAAATGTTGTCAACATTTCAGGTCATTATTGAAGGTTTCATCACCAATGGACAAGGAATGGCTAATTATATAGCTTTAGATGATATTTCATTTAACTATAAGTGCACTCCTCACTTAAGTAAGTATATTGGAATTTTTCTATCAGAAATGTAAAAATTAAACTATTTAAAATGCTAAAATTAGTTTAACCTTGAATAACTCTTGAACTACTGGCTTTTTTTTTATTATTGTCATTATCATATCTCAAAATGGTTACAAAGGTTTTATAATGGTTAATGGTAAAATGGTTTTAAAATGGTTACAAGCAGTCACAATGGTTAAAAACAGCCAGGGAAAAAATGGTTCTTCCTTATAACTTTTAAACTATTGATCGGAGTTTTTAAAAATAAATTCTATGGCAATATCTCTAAAGCAATGTCTAAAAATTAGTAAAACTGCTAACCATAACCGGTGTAGGGTACGCTTATTTTGCACAAAAAAAGCAATTGTTTATTATACAGCTTTCAAAATTCCGTAATAAAGCTCAATACATTTGTTCCCATTTAGATTTCGATGTTTGTTTTCAAGAATCCATAATCTATAAAACAATTGAAAACAGGACAAGAAAATAATTTTTTACAGACATCCAAAACTCCATCGAAACTATGCAACCAAGTTCGGGAAAATTGAAATGAATAGCATGTAGCAGGCAGAAAGTAAAATGGAAGACAGTAAAAACTGGTTGTTCGTTCGTTCGTTGTAGTGGAACTGGGTGTCTGAGGCTTTACGGCCCTTTAAAACTGGTTGTAGCTAGCTATATCAATACTATAGTTCATACTCAGAGATGCTGATTTGCATCGGACAGAGGATAAATATTTTAGAGTGGTAGTCTTTTAATTTCTGATTCTTAGTTTAGAAATTTCGATCCACAGGGGTTTTACTCCCCACTACTTCTAAATAATACCAAGGCTTATGGGATACGTTATTTTGTTACGGTGCTCAAAAACATCTTATTTTTCCTCAGAAAAAACTACGTTTAAATAATTTTTCTTACATTATTTTGTTCTTTTCCGTCTTCATGTATATAACTTTTCAGATCTGGTCTGTAGATATTCAACCATTGAAGATGCCAGTGTTAGAACCACCTACTGGTGGTAATTGTGGTGGAAGGCATACCGTAAATTACTCAAAATGCCCATCAAGAAAAAAACCGAAAGAGAAACAACATCAGATCCAATAATATCAGTTTCAAAGACAACAGAACTACAGCTTCTACAGCAAGACTTCTTCTATTAATTAAGAAGTTTGATCAATTAGTTAAAAACGAAGATGTCTTCAAACAATTAACTTCAAAACTACGATCTTCAAGCTAACTATCTTCGAGCCAGTTCTTCCTAGCCAATAAAGTATCCAATCACCGATCAGACATTTGCGGAAACTACGCCAGTTATTTCTTCCTCTTCTCCAATTTCATTTCGTTATTTTCATCTGATTAGCCAACGTAAGTCTTTAAGAACAGACGAATTGGTCAATGGTGCTTCGCGCCAATATGCCAAAAACCACTGCATTTTGAAAGTTCCTTTTGTCTGTCGACAGGCAGTTTACTGGAGTTGGCGAATAAAATAGTTTTTGTTGAGCAATTTTCATACATTTATCTTTTTTTAAATAGAAATAGATATTTGTGAAACAATTAAAATCAGAATCGAAATTATAGACATCTCGGGACACCCAAGGGGATTAAATATCTTTAATTCTACTAATTAAATATTGTACTTTTTACTGCACTATTTTTTTTTTATCTAATACAGTGTTATAATAGGTTATAAACAGTGATAATTGTTGTTATTACATACACTTAATGTATAATTTTACTATCAGAAATATGCATCATGAATAAAAAGTTTAGCTTTATTAATACATATCATCACTTTGTTATCAGTCTCTATAGATCTTTCATCTGATCATCATAAATTTTTATTCTTTGTCTAATATTTTTTCTTATTTCTCTTTCATAAATATATTTAAGTAATGATGTTGATTGTTAATTTATTATTTTACCTCGTTTCAGATCCACTTCCCACAGTTCCTCCAATAATTACCACACAGAAACCAACGTTTTGTAGCTTTGGAGAATATACTTGTGACAATAAAGAATGTATTTCCATGTTGCTAAAATGTGATTTCAAGCAAGATTGTTCTGACGGATCAGATGAGCACTATTGTGGTAAATATGTACATTATTTCACAACGCACGAAAATCTTTTGATAAAAAATATTTAAAAATATTGAACAAATGTTTAAATAAACTTGACAACGCAAGATACATACATTTGGACTTAGACACATTGAGGTAGCGAACCGAAAACAAGAGACATACAGAAGGCGAATTCCTGTACGTTTGCATGTGGCAAAGGTAATGTGCCCTTGCGCATATAATATCTGTACAAGCACGCATTCTCTCTGGGATCTTGCATATATCTTCTAATACATTTTATTTTATAACTAACGTTGAACAGCAGATCCAATTTTGAGTTTACCATTATTAATGTTCTAATCCGTTCACCTTGTAATTTTGAATCTAATACAGTAGACAATGAAACACCTGTATTAAGCATTAGGATTAATTAGCTTTCGTAAAAGACATTTGAGGGAATCGACCCGGAATTGCGCTACATGGTGAGAAAAAACACGTAAACCTTCCATGGTTAATCCGATTGCAAGGGGATTTTAATTGTCTGCCACAGAAAATATTTTTCGCTCACACTGTCGTCAGTCGGGAGTAAAATTCGAATCAAAAGCCATCGCTGGAGAATGAACCTGGGTCACCTCAATGGAAGGCGTGCATTCTATCCCCTGAGCCACCGTAAATTCTCTTGCTAATATGGGAGGAACGTAGGAAATCTCTATGAATCCCTATATGTGAGAACATACTCATGTAAGGAGCCTAAACGAAATCTTTTGTTTCCCTTTCAACCTACATAAATTTCTAAACAATAAACTTTGCTTTCCGTAGGAAAAAATATTCTTGCCGGAACGGAAAAATTAGCTGTTACACAAAAACATGCTTTCTGGAATAAACATAACCTATTTTTCCGTCTTCATTGTGTTTTTATGATCTTCATAACTATAAGTTTCGTTGAACTTTGAAATATAGGGTGATAATTGTTGAAATTTAAGGGCAGTCAAAAAAATTATTTAGCACTTTGGATAATATTTACAAAACTTATTTTGATTTTAACTAAGTACATTTGCTAAATAGTACTTGTTGTATAACAACAATATAGTTCATAGTATTTTAAATGTTTCCTTCAGTTATGAATTTAGTTAGAAATTGTTCTGTTGAAAAGTAGATTTGCATAAACTCATATTTGTATATATATTTAAATTTACAATCTGTTTCAAAATGTTACACCTTAATATATAAATATGGCTAAATTTTGAAGAACTGAATGAATTGTAAAATAAAAGCAATGATGTATTTCTTAACAGGAGCATGTGATTTTCATGAAGACATGTGTGGTTTGATTAACAAAGAACTCTGGAGTAGATACAAATGGCAACGAGCCCGAGCTGAAGATTTTATTGCTGAGTCACAAAACTCAACAGCCCCCGAAACCGATAGTATTGGCAATAAAGAGGGATACTTTGTTGTTTTGACAGGAAAGCAATACAGTAAGTAAACTAAATAGAAAAATTTTATTAAATTGAGATATAAAAGTAACAAACACTAAAGTATGAGCCAATATATACCTTAAAATATATTTAATTGGAGGAAAAATTTGAATTTTTCTCACTCTTTGTTAATTACTAAACATTATTAAATTAAATATACAGAAATTGAGATAAAAAAAATTTCATCAGCGATGTTTTCAATAAAACGTGACTTTTCTGCAAACTGGTGACACTTTTTGCAAGCATATCATAAAGTCTCTTAACGGCGACCATACTATCATAATAGTAAACTGCCGGTAATGTGGCCGAGCGGTTAGCGTGCCTGACTGCGAAGCCAATAGTTGCAGGTTCGAATCCCGCTCAGGGCATAGATGTTTGTCTCTGTGTGTTGTCCACTGTTGTGTGTGATGTGTGAATGTGGGACGAGAAAACGAAAGATTTGAGTTATTACTCTTTAACATTTTGAAAATGAGAGATGCTCCTAAAAGGGAAAATAATTCCCAAAAAATATATATATAAACGGAGCAAATTAAGTGGTAGGTAAAATTTTGTAATCGAATTGCTTCTATGTACTTTTATCAAAAAAATAATTACTAAAAACTTAATAGTTTCATTCTTTAAATTTATTTGGAAAAAAATTACTCATTAATACATATACAAAGTTTTTGAACACAAAGTTCTTGAAATGTTACTTAATATTTATTTAACATTGGTCTGCTGAAGGGCAAGAGCCTCCATATTCAATTCTGCCCTTCACTGAACAGATCTGAACTTCAGTGTAGCAGAGGCAGTAGTAAATATTATTTCTAAAAATTTTTCCAAATATATTTTTAATGAAAAATGGTATAGAGTGGAATGGTGTTTCATGTTGGTGGTGGTGTTAGTGGAGAAATTTTATAGAGTGGTAAGCAATTAAAAATTTATACTTTCAGAGTTTGTGCTAATTTTTCTAACATTTTAAGGGGCCTCATCCAACGCCTCCTATAACTGAAAGCCTCCAAACGGTTTTTTATAGGTAATCTGATCAGACTACTGTGAAGGATATCCATTTTCCGAACGAGTTACTAAATATAAAATCTAGTTAAAATAAGAAAGTGGTAGCAAATATATGACTAAAAATTTGTTTTATTTATGAATATTATTGGTTTGCCTTATACACTTGTCAACCACTACAGATTAAATTCTCAAATATATACGATGAATTTGTCTCAATTACTTTTATAAAAGGTTTTGGGTTCATGTGCACAACTGGTTTACTTTTTAAACAGTCTGCGCGGACTACTTATAAAAGACCGTGTGGAGGCTTTTTGATGTAGATGATGCCTCATCACGACAGAACCGGAATAAAGTGGTGATTGTGAAGAATTATTAACATGTAGTGATGCGGAATAAAAGTTTAAATCAAAATTACAAGCAACAAATCATACGTTTGAACATAAACTCAGCTACCACTGGAAGAAATTTTTCCAAAAGGCGTAGGAATTTGGCAGCCCCGTAAGATTTATGATACTTCGACTTTCACAGCTCACCTTATTACTCATATCTTAATAAAAACAAGTATTCGAACTTTTAAAAAAAAATTAAAATATTTCTCTATTGATTTAGGTTCCTTCAATAGTCCAGCAATCATGCAGAGTCCGCCGCTGAAAACAATATCTCACGCATGTAAATTGGAATTCTTTTATCATTTCAATATAGGAAATGGTAAGTAACGGCTGTTAACAAAATGTTTTCAGTGAACATTTCAATTTTTTTTTTTATTTTATTATTTATAACTAAAAATTTTAATTAGCAAATTAACTTAAACACACGAAATATTTCCACTAATTAGCAAAGTCATTGTAAGTACTAAGAATTTAAAGGAAAATCTTATCTAATTAAGTATCAGGGATTCTACGACCGGAAGAAAAAAATCGATGAACTTAAATGTCAGTACACTTCTAAAAATGTTTAAATTTAGCTTCTGTTTGAGTGTTACAAAAACACACCTACATAATTTTGCACCTGTTTACATATCCTTTAAATTGAATTTTCTTTTGGTTGATACGAACAACTAAAAACATCCATATTCAGGGTTGCGATGGGTGACAAAAAAATGCAAAAAGTGGTGACTAAATCACATTTTTTTTTAAAAGAGATTAAAACTAGCTTATTTTTATGGCATTTTTCTTTAAGTTATCAGAGATGCCAACTGCTCCGGACACGCCAAAATAATTTAAAAAACGGTAAATAATTACAAAGCAAATTTTGCAAATATTTGACTATTTTTGCTTGCTTTTAAAAAGGTACAGCAGGACATAAGAACTATACAGAGATACCAACTGCTCCGGGCACGCCAAAATAATTAAAAAAAACGGTAAATAACTACAAATAAATTTTGCCAATATCTGATAATTTTTTTTTAAAGGTATAGCATGAAATAAGTATTACTACTACTACTAGATATATATTTATTCAAAGTGCTGCCCGCGAAGCGGGCATCTGACTTTTTCATCACATAATGTGTGCCCTTGGGCGACTAAGACTGTTTGGCTTTGGTGAGGAGAGAATGGAGTACGGGGGAAGTCCCCTGAGTCAAGGTAGAATTAAAGATAATGAGAGTTATAATGCGCAAAGTTATGTACAGATCTGATGGAGAAATAAGTATTACAAAGTAGTGAATTATATAAGCCTAGGAATTATTTAGAAATAGTGGTGGCTAAAAATCTACTAAATTGAATTTATCGAACCAAGAATCACAATTAATAAACTACTACTTGAAAATATTCATTCACTGTCCGGAGCAAGTTGGCATCTCTGACTATAACGTGGTGAATCATATAAGCCTACGAATTATTTAGAAATAGTGGTGGATAAAAATCCACTAAATTGAATTTATTAAACCAAGAATCACAATTGATAAACTACCACTTCAAAATATGTATTTGCTGTCCGGAGCAAGTTGGCATCTCTGAAGTATGAAAAATTTAAAATGTAAGTCCTATAAGTAGTTATGATTAACTAATTTATGAGGTAATAAATAAATAAAACTGAATTGAGTTTTTATCATTTTAGTAGCCTGGAGCGTTCCTGCATGTTTGTCTTAATTTTGCTACAAATCTAAACATTTTCTAGATCATATCAATCCTGACGCTAATAGGATGATCTTTGGCTACTAAAATTAAGATGCTGAGACCTTAAAATGGAAACTACTCTTTTCGTTTCAAACACTATTTGCATATAGCTGCCAACCCGGAAGTCCAGCTTCCAGGAATATTTGAAGCGGCGGTAATAACCATTTAAACTTAGCTTAGTTTGTCCAATTTTGGCCACAATTAGTTGTGAAATTAATATATTTTATGAACAGGTTGCAAAAAAGTTAAGAAACGGACAAATATTTCGAGAAATAAATACTGAAAAAGGAAAAATAAACAGATTCAATATTTTTTTTTATTAATAGTTGTCCAATGATCCAGAATTTCATCTTCCACTTCCATGTAATAGGGCGGATTGGGGGCAACTATCAAAACTTAGTTGTGAACCCCTATTTTTCATTGCAGATTCGGACTCTCCAAAGAAAAGTAGCCCAATTTAAGTTATAGTTTTATAGATTTTGCCTCTCAGATGTTGCTGTAACCGAAAAAATTAAAACAGAGTAGAAACTGTTTAAAACGGTCTCGAGACCCATCAGTTCGCTTCACCGAAGTTGCTGTAACCGAAAAAATTAAAGTAAGGTACAAACTGTTTGAAATGGAAAATCTCGGAACTCATCAGGTTAAGAACATAAAAAAGACACGTTTAAATTTTTTCGTGATTTTTCTTTTTTTTTTTTAAGGAAAAATAGCGAAGCATTTTTTTAAAATTTGAGCTGCCTCGAGATACCACAATCAGATCGAAATAACTAGTAGCTTAAACTATTTCCTTTTTATCATTCAACGAGAACTTTTGTTTCATAAAAATACATTAACCCCTTGGGGACGGGTGATTCAGAAAAGCATTCGTACAAAATCAGAATCAAGTTGTAATTAAATAAAAAACAGTAACTTAAATGTAGTCGTTGCTAATTTGACAGACTTACTTTGCTTTTACTTTAATTATTGTTAGTTTAATCATATATATNGTAATATTTGGATAAATGACTTTCTTTTTACTTGATTTCCTAATAATTAGTAGTGAAGATTTAGTGGTGTTGATGGCTACCTTCCATTTTGTGCACCAGGCTTCGATATGAGGTATGATATTACTGAGATTAGTAACAGACTTCTTGGGATTTATTGATCTGCTCATAAGTGCTGTATCATCTGCGTAGAAGGCTGAGGTGATGTTTCTCATATTATTAAAATTTGGAAAGTCTGCTGAATAAATTAGGTAGAGCACAGGGCCGAGAATTGAACCTTGCGGAACTCCTGCTTTAATGTTTCTAGCGGAAGAAAATGCTGTATTGATCTTAATATGAAAAGTTCTGTTTGTCAGATAATTATTAATTAGTAGTATTAGATCTTTGGGGATATTGAAATTTATGAGCTTGTATATGAAGCCCTGATGCCAGACTCGGTCAATAACACCACTTACGGAGATGCCAACTTGCTCCGGACAGCAAATTTATATTTTAAAGTGGTAGTTTATCAATTGTGATTCTTAGTTTAATACATTCAATTTAGTAGATTTTTTTCCACCACTATTTTTAAATAATTCGTAGACTTACATAATTCGCCACTTTATGTTTACAAAATTTATTTGATGGTTATTTACCGTTTCTTAATTATTTTGGCGTGTCCGGAGCAGTTGGCATTATATGCTATAAGAAAAAAAAATGAGAATATGAGATATATATTTATGAAATATTCTAGTATATATTGAAATTTATGAGCTTGTATATGAAGCCCTGATGCCAGACTCGGTCAATAACACCACTTACGGAGATGCCAACTTGCTCCGGACAGCAAATTTATATTTTAAAGTGGTAGTTTATCAATTGTGATTCTTAGTTTAATACATTCAATTTAGTAGATTTTTTTCCACCACTATTTTTAAATAATTCGTAGACTTACATAATTCGCCACTTTATGTTTACAAAATTTATTTGATGGTTATTTACCGTTTCTTAATTATTTTGGCGTGTCCGGAGCAGTTGGCATTATATGCTATAAGAAAAAAAAATGAGAATATGAGATATATATTTATGAAATATTCTAGTATTTTATTTTTCAATACTCGAACGAAGCAACTGAAACCTTCAAAATCTGACATCAATTGACATTCTGTGTTTGTTCTTTCTGTTATTGCTTATCGGCAACTGTTGTTTATCGCTTGTTTCATTTGAGATAACGATATCAGATCGAAGTATTTTCGGTACATTCCTATTTATTATTGATGTGATGTTTGCATGTTTACTCAAAATTTTGTCTAAATTACTATCACGTCAAATTGACGCATATCCGTAGAGATAGGTATACCAGAAAGAGAATTTCAGTATTTCAATGCTTTTGAAAAAAATAGACTTTAACATACGTATATTTACCTCGATCAATGAATAAAAGTAATGACAAAAGATAAATTAAAAATGCAAACGGGTTTTGTAATTTTCCTTATAAAATTCGAATTGCGTCAAAATGACGCATCTCGTAAACCTAGTGTTTAATATGAATAAGTTAAAATATAAGTCCTATAGGTAGTTACGATTAACTAATTTGAAAGATAATAAATAAATAAAACTGAATTGAGTTTTTATCATTTTTAGTCTCCTGGGACATCCTTGCATAGTTGTCCCAATTTTGCTGCAACTCTAAAAAAATTCTAGATCATATCAACACTGACGCTAATGGGATGAAATTTGGCTACTAAAATTAAGATGCTTAAGACCTTAAAATGGAAGCTACTCTTTTGGTTCAAACACTATTTACGTATAGCTGCCAACCTGGAAGTTCAGCTTCCCGGAATATTTGAAGCCGTGGTAATAACAATTTAAACTTAGCTTAGTTTCTCCAATTTTGCCCACAATTAGTTGTGAAACTAATATATTTTATGAACAAGTTGTAAAAAAGTTAAGAAAAGGACAAATATTTCGAGAAATAAATATTGAAAAAGGGAAAATAGACAGATTCAATATTTTTTTTAATTAAAAGTTGTCCAATGATCCAGAATTTCATCTTTCACTTCCATGTAATAGGGCGGATTGGGGGCAACTATCAAAGCTTAGTTGTGAACCCCTATTTTTCATTGCAGATTCGGACTCTCCAAAGAAAAGTAGCCCAATTTCAGTTATAGTTTTATAGATTTTGCCTCTCAGATGTGGCTGTAACCGAAAAAATTTAAACAGAGTAGAAACTGTTTAACCGGTTAACGCCCAGCGTCATATATTTGGAACTGTTCCTTTTTTCAAAGACATTCATTGTGATGGGAAACTTTTTTCAGCATTTTCATTTATCTGGGTGAATTATGTAAAAGATTCTCAGATACCATTATGATTTAGTTATTTCTGATTAGATCTATAATTATAAGGAGCACGTACTTTTTGATCTATCAAAGACTTTTTGAGTGCCCTAACAGTTGAAAAACCAATTAATTTCGATAATATATTATACCACATTTTCCATAAAACCACTTTTTGTATCATTTCAATATATAAATTCGGGACAAAACGGGTTAAAACGGTGGTATCTCGAGACCCATCAGTTCGGTTCACCGATGTTGCTGTAACCGAAAAAATTAAAATAAGGTACAAACTGTTTAAAATAGAAAATCTCGGAACTCATCAGGTTAAGAACATAAAAAAGACACGTTTAAACTTTTTCATGGTTTCTATTTTTTTTTNTTTTTTTTTTTTTTTTTTTTTTTTTTTTTTTTTTTTTTTTTTTTTTTTTTTTTTTTTGCAGAAAAATAGCGAAACGTTTTTTTTAAAATCTGAGCGACTTCGAGATACCACCATCAGATCGAAATAACTAATAGCTTAAACTATTTACTTTTTTTCATTCAACGAGGACTTTTGTTTCATTAAAATACATTAAGTACGATTTACATAAAGTATATAGAACATAGAGTAGTTGCACAGACACTCATACATTTGAGGCTGTTACGAGTTTTTCTTTTCAGTGATAGCGAACTAAAACAGAATTTTTTGAACAAAATAATTTTTTTTCTTTTTTGAAAAATTTTATTAGAACGACTCAACTCAAGCATTCGTCGAATCTGACCTTATATGCATCTGTTTAAATTATTTGTGTTTATGGGTGGGCAAAATTCTTTTTCATATTTTTGAAAAGTACCGATATTCTGTAGTTCGAGTGTCTGGATGTATTTTAATCTGACATTATGCATTTGTAATATTTATTTTCAATTAAAGTAGTAGCTTCATTTAAAATTATCAATTTAACACCTTACCCTTCCACCTTCCCAAATATGTGGTAGTTACTTTTAAATATCTGAAATGTTGCGTTTCTGATGTTTTATTTTATTTCACACTGCAGCCCAAAGATACTCTGTGTCATTTGGTCAAATAATATCATTTTCAAAATTCCATTTCAAAGATTCAATTTACCTTCAATACTATTTTTATATTCACTAAAATATTTACAGGGTCTTTGGAGGTTTATGTCAGCCCAGTTACTTGGGGAGTAGCAAAATCCTTAAGATTTTCTTTAAAAAACAGCACTGGAAAGAATTGGCAGTTTGCATCTATACCAATTGGAAATTATCCGAGTGGATATTTTGTAAGTAGTTTTTTTTTTTAAAAAGTTAAGTTTTACGCTTTAAGTTTCATAGAAAAAACCGTATTTTAATGGTAAGACATCAAAATAATACAAATAACCAATAACATTGAGTCTTAACCCTTTATTTACCGACGAAACAAAGTACAACTTTATACCAAAAAGAAAAAAAAAGTTACTAATTTTTTTTATTTCGTAGCACATTAGCATCAAGACTTTACAAAACAAGTTCGTTCGTTCCTTTTCATTTTACAAATATTTTTTACAGAGCACGGTGCTCATTTTTCCTCATGCTCAGCAGTTCTTAATTTTTTTCGGCTGCGGAACCCTCAATGATCAAGCTTCTTCCTGCGGTAACCTGACTTCATAAGTAAATAAAGACAATTATGTAAGCAGTATCCATTAAAAAACTATTTTATTTCTAATTTTTAACTTTTTTATTTTTAATAAGATGAATGATTTTTTCCCCCATCATTTTATTCATAATAATCTTAAATTAGGTCTCTTGTTCAACAGTTGAATTCGCAGTTTTGGAGATGAATCTACTATAGCTAAAAATTTGTTTTTATATTGTTGTAAAAGTTGAAAATGGTTGCTTGGGAAACATATGTCTTTATGAAAGAATTCAGTAATTTTATTTTGATTTAAAAAGCGCAATGTTAAATACTCTTCCAATTTTTTTATAAATACATGTTCCTTTCATAAGTCTTCATAATTGTTGTTAGAAAAGTCTATATTTTTAAAAATTTGCCTTTCTCTCTTTTTGATATTTTACTTCAAATATAATTTCAATAAGACAAACTAAATAATAAGTAAATAAGAGATTATCGATTGTATCTATATACACACAATAATTTGAACACAATTGTTACACAATAATTGGAACTAAATATAATTACACAATAATTAGATCTAAATATAATTAGATCTAAATATAACTTATTATTGAAATAGTAAGTAAATAATAAATTATCGATTGGATGTAAATATAATTTTATCTAAACATAACTTCACAAAGACAATCAAAATAATAAATAAATAACATATTATTGATTGAATCTAAATTAGATCTAACAGTTTTCAAAAATGTTTTTATTAAAAGTCCTAACTCTGGGAATCCCTTTGACTCTTCATTCGCAACACCATTTGGAAACCATTACCATCGTTCTCATCTTCTTATATCATCGATAATCATGATGGACGGGATAAAGGCCTCAAATTTGATTTCTCAAATTTTCAATCATTGATTGTAGATGAGGGTGAAGTAAGAAGTAGGTCGACTAGCCCTAGTATCCATTGGCTATTGGGCACCTGCATCCATCATGTACCTTTAAAAATATGATGACGCATTGTGGTCAGCTGACTTTTCGGTTGTTGATTAAACGTCGCAAGCTCCTTGCTCGAAGAAATAATATAAGTTGTAATAAAAAGAAGCAGCTTGCTCAAATTTTCAATCGTTGATTGTAGATGAGGGTGAAGTAAGAAAAAGGTCGACTAGCCCTAGTACGCATTGGCTATTAGGCACCTGGGCCGCAAAGCCGCCTTCCTCTCATCCATTATGTACCTTTTATATATATGGTGACTTATTGTGGTCAGCTGACCTTTCGAGTGTTGATTTAACATTGCAATTTCCTTGCTCGAAGAAATAATATAAGTTGACATAAAAAGAAACAGCTTGCTCAAATTTTCAGTAGTTGATTGTAGATGAAGGTGAAGTAAGAAGCAGGTCGAGAAGTCAGAAGAAAAAAAAAAAGATTTTTGTACTGTTAATATATTTTAATTGATTAGAATGTTCAACTTTTTAATTTTCAAGTACTAAGAAAGATATGAAACACCAGTTTTTAACATTTTAAAAAAGAGACGTGTTCCAAAAATGGAACTTGTAGCAAGTAAAAGAGTTAAATATACATCATAGGTATACATCTTAATATATTGCGAGGAGATCAGATAAAAATACGTTTTTTAAATTTCTGAGATCAGTGTAAAATTTTTAAAAAGTGGCAGAAAAGCTTCTTCGTTTACTCTGTTTTTCAAAGAAATTTACCATTTGTAATTGCCACAAAACATAAATGATACAGTGCATATGCAATCAATACTACAATCATTCGTCGTAAATCTTTTTTAAAATTGAAGTTGTAGCTTTAGTTACAAATTTGCTCCTTTTTTTTTTTTTTTTAAATCCTGCCTGCCACTTTTTTAAAATTTTAATTTATAATTGTTTTTATTTATATTTAGTAATGATACTCGTGTACAAAGTATAAACATTATCTATGGGTACAATATATGCATTTTATTTTAGATTGAATACCATGGGAACTCGATGCATCATACGCTTCTTGGACAAGTGCAAGATATTGCTATAGACAATATTAAATACATTGACTGCGATCCAAACGCTGTCTCTTCTAGAAGTAAGTAGAATTTTCTTCGTCTCCATATTTCGATAAAATTCCATACCTGCCAACTTTTACGCATTTGGCGTAAAATTTTATTTTTATATTTAAAGTGGTAGTAAATATATACTATATTTTCCTTTATAAACTTAATTTTTAAATGATTTTGATCACCACTATTGCTAAAAAAATTAAGCATATAGATTAATATGCGTTACTATCATGGTTGTCAGCTGATGGCTTTTCAAATACGACGTATCTTTTTGCTTAGAATTGAAATTTTAATTCCAATTTACTACCACTGGGAAAAATCATGATGGACGAGATTAAAAGTTGGCAGGTGTGAAATTCAATCAATAGTTCGTTAATCCTTTATTCCGACTGAATACGTTTTAAAGACGCACAACCATAATTAGAATAAAAACCAGTTCGTTTGGTTTCTTGTATTTGTATTTTTAAAAGTCTTATACTAATCGAATGCGCACAAAAGCATATAAATGGCAAACATTTCCTGGGAGAAAATTGCTCTTCTATTTCTCCTTACGGCATTTTCATATTTAATACTTACTCTATCAGATTGTTTAGGAAAGAACAAAATGTTACATCTTTCCCAGTCATCAATTTGTGTCTTAATATTTTCCAGATAGGTATTTTTCAAATTTTAAGAAATCCCACTTAATAATAACTCAAAAATCCAGAAACGTCTTATTGTTTACTAGGAGACTCCGCCCCCTGCTCGCTAACGCTCGCCAACCCCCGAAAATTGCTACGCAATCCTATATGGTTCGCTTCGCAAACCAAGCTCACTTTTCTTGCTACTAACTTAGGTACATTGTAAATCCACAAAATTCTAAGAATTCAAAACAATCATTCAAATCCATATAACAACTTTTTTTTTTAAAAAAAATTACATCTTTTTAGTAAATACTAAGTCATTAAAATAAATTTTAATTCAAATAAAT